TTTTCATAATTTTTCCAGAACCCTAATCTCAGACAGTAGTCAGATATTAGCAGATTTGATTATTAAAATGATATAAAATTTAGTCTGGATGATAGTATATATTTATATGATTTAAGCTGCCTATTCAATTTACATAAATACTTAAGTCACATATAAAACTAAAGCACTTAAATCTGGGCATCTTCCCCAACTCACCCATTTCCTGGCTGACAAGAGGACCTGAGGCCAGCAGCGTACTTCCCTGTTATAAGCATACATTAAGATGAGTGAAATTTAAAGCAAGTGAAATTGGGGGTTGAGTTGTTGTACGATCAAGATTCATACAAAGTAGGCAACCCACAAATGGGAGAATAATTACAGTTGCAGAGGTTTTCCCCAAGAAAGGATTGGTTTGAGCCCCATATTGGGCTCTCCAGCCTAGGAGTCCTGTGCCAGGAGGATGAACCCCCATAATGTTTGTTTTTGAAGACCAGTGGTGCTTACTTGTGGAAGACCCAGAGGACTGGAAGAAATAGAGACTCTGCTCATAAAAGGCACCTACAAAATCTCACACACCCTGGGACCCCAGAATACAAGCAGTAATTTGAACAGAGCCTGGGTCAGACTACCTGTTGACCTTAGAGAGTCTCCTAGAGAGGTAGGAAGAAACTCGAGCTCTCCCTGGGGACAGAGACACTGGCGGCGCCCATCTGGGGGAACTTGTTCTACCATGTGGGCACTGGTGCTGGTAAACACCATTTTGCAATCCTCCCTCTAGCTTATTAGCCTCAGGACAAAGCCCCCTCCCTGCCTACCAGCCTGTAGGCACCAGGACTGAGATGCCTCAGGAACAAGCAACTGAGTTGGCAGGGACATAGCCCTACCAATGAGCTGACAGGCAGTCTTAAGACCTCGTGAATCCACAGTCACCCCCAGACATGGCCCTGCCCACCAGAGTGCAGACCTGGCCCCACATATCTGTGGGCAGGTACCAACCCCAGAATACCCTGGGCCCCAGCCCTGTCTACCAAGCCTGATCTAGCCTAAGTACCAGCCTTACATGTCACCAGCCTAAGGATAAGCACAGTCCCGCAGCCTGCCACGGATGCACCCGTCCCACCTACCAGCAGGCCAGCAGCCAGCTGGGCCACAGCCTTAGCCAACAAATTTCAGGACAACCTGGACCCCACAGCCAGCTATGTCAGCAACTGCCCCAATTGGCCAGTTATCCAACACCAGCTCTAGGACACCTAGGAGACTCCAGGATCTAGTTCTGCCAGTCGATGTTCTAGCACTAGCCCCAGGACCTGGCTTCTCTCACTGGTGATCAGGTACCAGATCTTGGATCTTCTGGACCCAACCTCTGCCTACCAATGAGCCAGGATGAGCTCCAGGGCCCCCTGGGCTTCTGCAGCCAGATGCCTCATGACCCAACCCCACCAACAGTGGCTGGCAGCCTCCACCCACACAAGGCAGGAACTGACCACAAAGCAGAGTGGAAGCCAGTCCGCCCTAGAAGACCACCCACTGTAGTTAGCCCACCACAATAGGAGGGCCCATATGACCCACAGCAAGACTAGTAATAGTAATAGGAGACTTTAATAGCCCACTTACACCAGTGGATAGGTCATCCAGACAGAAGAATCAATAAGGAAGCACTGGCTTTAAATGACACATATCATTTATGTGATAAATGCTCTTTATCACATATTAAAGATCTTTAATGATATTATAAAAAGCTCTCCAGAAAGTGGACATAAAGTTTGCATGAAAGTGAAAGTGAAGTCGCTCAGTCATGTCCAACTCTTTGCGACCCCATGGACTGTAACCTATGAGGTTCCTCCATCCATGGAATTTTCCAGGCAAGAGTACTGGAATGGGTTGCCATTTCCTTTTTCAGGGGATCTTCCCGACCCAGGGATGGAACTTGGGTCTCCTGCATTGCAAACAGGTGCTTTTACCGCTTTTAAGGTGCTCTTAACAGGTGCTTTTAAGAAAACAATTCCATTTGTAATTGAATCAAAAAGAATAAAATACCCAGGAATAAACCTACCTCAGCAGGCAAAAGACCAATACTCAGAAGCCTATAACACACTGATGAAAGAAACTGAAGATGACACAAACAGAAAGGCATATTGTGTTCATGAATTGGAAGAATTATATTGTTAAAATGACTATACTACCCAAGGCAATCTCCAGATGCAAGTCCTATGAAAATACCAATTGGATTTTTCACAGAACTAGAAAAAAAAATTGTTTTAATTTATACACAAATGCAAAAGACCTAAATAGACAAAACAATCTTGAGAAAGCAGAAAAGAGCTGGAAGAATCATGCTCCATGACTTCAGACTGTATTCCAAAGCTACAGTAATAAAATCGGTATCATACTGGCACAAAACAAGCACACAAATCAGTAGAACAAATAGGGAGCCCAGAAGTAAAGCCACACATTTATGGTCAATTAATCTATGACAAAGAAGACAAGAATATACAATGTCTCTTTAATAAGTGATGCTGAGAAAACTGGAGAGCTATATGTTAAAAAAAAAAAATGAAATTAGAACATTTTCTTATACCACATACAAAAATAAACCCAAAATGGCTTAAAGGCCTAAATATAAGACTGGAAATCATAAGACTCTTCGAAGAAAACATAAGCAGAATACCCTTTGATATAAATCAGCAACGTTTTTTTAGATCTGTCTCCTAAAGCAAAGAAAACAAAAGCAAAAACAAACAAATGGGACCTGATTAAACTTAAAAGCTTTCACATAGCAAAGGAAACCATTGACAAAATGAAAAGACAACCTATAGGAATGGGAGAAAATATTTACAAATGATATGACTTACAAGGGGTTAATATCCAAAATACATAAACAGCTCTTGAAATTTACCAAAAAGCAACCTGATTAAAAAATGGGCAGAAGATCTGAATAGATATTTTTCCAAAGAAGGCATACAGGTGGCCAACTAGCACACGAAAAGAGACTCAGCATGACTAATCACCGGGGAAATGCAAATCAGAAGCACAGTGAGGTATCAACTCATACATGACAGAATGGCTATCATCAACAATACCACAAATAACAAAGGTTGGCAAGTATATGAAGAAAGGGGAAACTTTGTACACTGTTGGTGGGAATATAACCTTTGTACACCGTGGAAAGCAATATGAAAGGGCCTCAAAAAACTAAAAATTGAACTACCATAAAATTTGGCAATTCTAATCCTGGGTGTATGTCCAAAGGAAACAAAAAACACTAACTTGAAAAGATTCATGCATCCCAATGTTCATAGCAGCATTATTTATAGTAACCAAGATATGGAAGCAAAATAAGTGTCCATCAACAGAAGAATAGATAAAGAATATGAATTAAATACTACTCACCCATAGAAAGGAAAAGAAATTTTGCCATTTGTAGTAACGTGGATGGACCTGGAGGGTATGATGCTTTCGGAAACATGTCAGATAGAGAAAAAGAAGTACTATATGTTATCATTTATATGTGGAATCTAAAAAATAAAACAAACTATTTAATATAACAACAAAAAAGAAACAAACTCGCAGATACGGAGAATGAAGTATGGTTATCAGTGGGGAGAAAGAAGCAGGAAGGGGCAAAATAGAGGAAGGGGATAAAGAGGTACAAGCTATTCTGTATAAAATAAATTAGCTACAAGGATATAAGATGAGATAAGATGAGATAAGGACAGAAGATGAGATGGTTGGATGACATCACCACTCAATGGACATGGTTTGGGTAGACACCAGGAGTTGGTGATGGACAGGGAGGCCGGGAGTGCTGCGATTCATGGGGTCACAAAGAGTCGGGCATGACTGAGCGACTGAACTGAACTGAACAAGGATATATTGTACAACATAGATAATAAATCCAAAATTTTATAACTTTAAATGGAGCATAATCTATAAACATTTTGAATCATTGAGTTTTACATCTGAAATAATATTCTAAACCAACTATACTTCAATAAAAACAAAACAAAACTCACCTGAACTTCTTGAATAGCAGGGAGAAACCATATTAGAGAATAAAATCTAATGAGGATAAAATTTTAAATAGTGAGGAAAAGATCTTTGTAAAGAGATTATACCAAGTTCAATTCCTAATGAACTGAATTGTCACTATTAGTGAGAACCAAGTTGAATTATGAAAGTAGCTGTGTCACCTAATTTTTTGATCAGAGCAGATAAATAATACATAAAATGATAGAGTGTACAGCATGCAGGTTAGTTAGAATGAACTGTGTAGCCCCTTTCCCCTTGTGATTTTGCACTGAAGTCTGAAAATAACTAGATATTGGCTTAGATGGAACTCTGAAAAGAGATGGAAACTCGTTCCTATGAAAGGACTACAACTATAATTTCAAAGAAGTGTTTTGGGTGTTTTCTGGTAATTCTTGGGAGAAAAACAGAACAGGGAATATAATATTAAAACATAATGGGATGGGACACAAGCTTGCAGTTAAGATGTAGAAAAGTATACCTTACAAAAACAAATTCTTTATAGATCCACAGGCTGAGGAAAATAAGGTTTGAGAATATTTGAAGTAAAAAGAGGAAAACAAATGATGTAATTGTTGGAGCATATTATGGCTGCTTGGATGGATAAAGATACAGAGAAGTTATCTTGACAACCATCTCAGAGACTGGATAGAGGAGAGAGATTTGAACTTCCCATACAGATGCTGGAAAGCTCACCATATAAGAATAATGACAGGAAAGTTCTGTGACTTGCAAGCTTCGTCTGTCCACAAGGAGAATGCCACTATTTCATCCTTCCGTTCATTTCCTCAGTGAATATCTACTGCTTGTCTATTTTGCTCTAGGAACTGGGAATGCAAGAATAAATAAGAAAAATGCTCTGAAATTCAAACTAACATGATGAACTATTGTGGCAAGGTCATAAATAGAGGCATGCAACAAGTGAGCTCTACAGGGTGGGGTCTCTGAAGGAGACCATGTGAATGACATCACAGAGGAAGGTCAGTAGGTTGGGACCTGAGCCACGGCTCAGCCAGGGACAGAGGTGAGGAGGAAGAGCTTTTTGACCAGAAGAAAGCACATCTCAGAACCAGAGAGAAGTTTGGTGTGGCCAGAACCTCTCAAAGATGGAGTCTGGTAAGACAGGTGGCTGAAGAGGCGAGCATGTGAATTTAGGAAATGAGCAACTCATCCTGTGAGTTAAGAAAAATGCGACATAATTGGGTTTTAATTTTAAAAGTTTTACATTGACTCTAATGTGAGTGTAAATGTGAATCAGTTTTACACTGACTCAAATATGTTGGGGGAGGGCAGGATGCGGTTAGTGAGTGAGCCATATTGACTTCATTTTCTTTTGGCAAGTTTGAAAGTTGCTAGATCAGGGAACTCTTAGTAGACATGCTTTTAGATTCCATCATGGTATTTGATGAACTCTCTTCTCAACAAGTTCTAGAAATATGTACTGGATGATAGCACAATTAAGTCGATTAATCTCTAGACTGCAACCTACCTTTCCAGTCTTTTCTTTTCTTGCTCCCCTACACCTCGAATACTCCAGCCATTAAATTTCTCGATGCCTGAACACACCATGTACGCTCCAACCTCATTGCCTTTGTTCACATGTTCTCTCCATCTGGAGTGACATCCTTTCATCTCCTAAGCACTGAAACTCTGTCCATCGTTCAGTGGGCCACCTCCTCATATGTATATTTGTACTTGCCTTATGATCCTTGCCTTACTCTGTGTTGCATGACAGCCATTTAGTAACTACCTAGTACTCCCTACTGCCTTTTAACATGTTTGAAGGCAGGACTATTTTCATATTACTTGGTATCATAATAAGGAAGCTTATACTAGCACCACGAATAACATCTTTAGTGTTCTTCTGCCTTCCAGACACTATAGAAAGATGCTTGCCATCTTTATTTCCAAGTAGCAGTGAAACGTACTAGTTGGAAGCAAAAATATATCAGTTACCCAGACCCAAGTTAGATCCTGGCTGTGACACTTATTGGCCGTGTGACTTGAGGCAAGTTATTTAGCCTCTCTGAAGTTCAGTTTTCTCATCTGTAAACTTTTAAGGTTGTTTTGATAATTGAAGTAGACTAGTGTTTAAAAGACATTTAGGGGGAAACTCCCTGGTGGGCCAATGATCAAGAATCTGCCTGCCAATGCGGGAGACGCAGTGCAATCCCTGGCCTGGGAACTAAGATTCCACATGCTGTCGGGCAACTGAGTCCAACATCACAACTACTGAGCCAGCGCTCTAGAGCCCAAGCTCTGCAACAAGAGAAACCACCACCACGAGAGGCTTGCTCGTCACAACTAGAGAAAGTCTGTGTGCAGCAACGAAGCCCCAGCACAGTTACAAATAAAGAAGTAAATAAAGTTTTTTTAAAAAGCGATGATATAAATTTAACAAAAAGTGAATAAAAGGCACTTAGGGGAATTCCCTGATTGTCCAGTGATTAAGACTTGGCACTTTCACTGTCGTGGCCTGCATTCAATCCTTGGTCAGGGAACTAAGATCCCACAAGTCAGGTGATGGGCCCAAATAATAGTAATAATTATAGGATAAAATAAAATAAAAGGCATTTATTACAGTGCTTAACACTTAACGGGCTTCCCTTTCAGTTCAGCTGGTAAAGAATCCGCCTACAATGTAGGAGACCTGGGTTCGATCCCTGGGTTGGGAAGATCCCCTGGAGAAGGGAAAGGCTCAAGTTATTTAGCCTCTCTGAAGTTCAGTTTTCTCATCTGTAAACTTTTAAGGTTGTTTTGATAATTGAAGTAGACTAGTGTTTAAAAGACATTTGGGGGGAACTCCCTGGTGGGCCAATGATCAAGAATCTGCCTGCCAATGCGGGAGACGCAGTGCAATCCCTGGCCTGGGAACTAAGATTCCACATGCTGTGGGGCAACTGAGTCCAACATCACAACTACTGAGCCAGCGCTCTAGAGCCCAAGCTCTGTAACAAGAGAAACCACCACCACGAGAGGCTTGCTCGTCACAACTAGAGAAAGTCTGTGTGCAGCAACGAAGCCCCAGCACAGTTACAAATAAATAAGTAAAAAAAGTTTTTTTAAAAAGCGATGATATAAATTTAACAAAAAGTGAATAAAAGGCACTTGGGGAATTCCCTGATGGTCCAGTGATTAAGACTCGGCACTTTCACTGTGGTGGCCTGCGTTCAATCCTTGGTCAGGGAACTAAGATCCCACAAGTCAGGTGATGGGCCCAAATAATAGTAATAATTATAGGATAAAATAAAATAAAAGGCATTATTACAGTGCTTAACACTTAACGGGCTTCCCTTTCAGTTCAGCTGGTAAAGAATCTGCCTACAATGTAGGAGACCTGGGTTCGATCCCTGGGTTGGGAAGATCCCCTGGAGAAAGGAAAGGCTACCCACTCCAGTATTCTGGCCTGGAGAATTCCATGGACTGTATTGTCCACGGGGTCGCAAAGAGTCAGACACGACTGAGTGACTTTCACTTTAACACTTGACAAAAGCTCAGAAAACGAATTATGTTTGTGACTTCACTCACTGCTAAACCCATTTCGCAGATACTGTGTGTGTTAGTCACTCAGTCGTGTCTGACTCTCTGTGACCCCATGGACTGTAGCCCACCAGTCTCCTCTGTCCACAGAATTCTCCAGGCAAGAATAATGGAGTGGGTAGCCTTTCCCTTCTCCAGGGGATCTTCCCAACCCAGGGATTGAACCCCGGTCTCCCACATTACAGGCAGATTCTTTACCAGCTGAACCACCAGGGAAGCCCTCACAGATACTAGGGAGATGCAAAGATGCATGTGGACTCCTTTCAGGGAGCTCACAATTTAGTGGAGACCAAAACTTGTCAATGCCGTTTAGTTTTGATAAATATTCATCCTGAGTGTAGGAAAACTTGAAAATGGCAAAGAAATGTTACAAACATTTCACCTTCAAATGGATGTTACAGGAAATACTAAATGATGATGAAATCATTTTCCTAATATAGCACATTTAGATTACCTCTATGTAATCCATTAATATTTAACACAAAAATTGTAATTACCCATACAACTTTTTTTTTAATGACGGGAAAAAATCATCATGGGAATATATCAAGAAAGAAAGAGAAAGAAGATGTTGAGACTTTTTTAGAAAAAGCTTTTTGTTGTAGTAAACAACTGTACTTTTCACCCATTAACTTCCCTCTCTTTAAATATGACATTTAGAGTTGAGGGAAGCCACAGAGTCTTGGAACTTGGGAAAAGCCCTACCTGCCATCTATCCCAGAGAGGGAAGAAAAGACTCCGGACCCTGAGGTTCCACCTGGGGCAGAATCCAAGGTGCTGCTTTGCTTTCTTTGTCCTGCATGCAGTTCCTCTCCATCCTTTACCACCCTGCTTTCTGCCCTGGGAAGCTGACCTCTATGACTTGTGTCCACAAGTTCTTGTCCTCAAGCTTTTGGTTGGTTTCTTTCTACCAAAAAGAATCACTATCAGGAGATGCTTAGAAGAAAAACTATGACCAACCTAGACAGCATATTAAAAAGCGGAGACATTCCCTTGCCAACAAAGGTCTGTCTAGTCAAAGCTATGGTTTTTCCAGTAGCCACATATGGATGTGAGAATTAGACGATAAAGAAAGCTGAGCACCAAAGAACTGATGCATTTGAACTGGGGTATTGGAGAAGATGACTCATTTGAAAAGACCCTAATGCTGGGAAAGATTGAAGGCAGGAGGAGAAGGGGACAACAGAGGATGAGATGGTTGGATGGCATCACCAACTGAATGGACGAGTTTGGGTAAACTCCGGGAATTGGTGAAGGACAGGGAGGCGTGGCATGCTGAGGTCCATGGAGTCGCAAAGAGTCGGACATGACTGAGTGACTGAACTGAACCGAACTTGAGAGTCCCCTGGACTACAAGGAGATCCAACCAGTCAATCCTAAAGAAAATCAGTGCTAAATATTCATTGGAAGGACCCGATGCTGAAGCTGAAGTTCCAATACTTTGGCCACCTGATACAAAGAACTGACTCATTGGAAAAGACCCTGATGCTGGGAAAGATTGAAGGCAGGAGGAGAAGGGGATGACAGAGTATGAGATGGTTGGATAGCATCACGAACTTGATGGACATGAGTTTGAATAAGCTCTGGGAGTTGGTGATGGACAGGGAAGCCAGGCATGCTGCAGCCCTTGGGGTTGCATGGTTGGACATGACTGAGCAACTGAATTGAAATCATCAGGAGATGCCAGTTTCAGGGAGAGTGAGGTATTTATGCCCCCAGTACCTGCTCTGGTAAACTGTAGGCTATGTCTGGGTGCCTCAATGAAAGAGCCCATTAGAGCCCAGTGCCCTTTTCTATATCTACCTTTATAGCTGCCTTACTTGCTTTGTTCATGGGGTGACAAAGTGTCAATCATGAGTGAGAGACTGAGGACTTAGGCACTTTCTTTTGCCCTCTATGGCTATAGAGGTGGCAAAAATAGCCCCTTCAGTATTTCACTGTCTCTTGCTGATTTAATTATATCCTGTTTACATTTTTGTAAGTTGCTCTATCTTAATTTTTTGCTTGTGTTTGTTATTTATTCATTTGTCTGCAACGGGTTTTAATTGAGGCATACAGGATCTTCGTTGCCAGTGTGCAGGATCTTCATTGTGGCATGCAGATTCTTTAGCTGCAGCATGCAGGATCTAGTTCCACAACCAGGGATCAAACCCAGACTCCCTGCATTAGAAGCACAGAATCTTAACCACTGGACCACCAGGGAAGCCCCTACTCCATCTTTCAAATCCTCAATTCCTCTTCTTGAATGTGCCACCTGGAACATTGTTGGTATCCAGACTGACTTCCTTGATTTCTAGTTCAGTACTTTCCCCCCACACTATGCTTCCACAGAGAGATAAAAGAAGGATTGCTTTCATGGGACTGGGTTTTACTTCTTTATTCAAAAATTATCTTCTCTTGGAAATATTTTGATAGTTAAGAATTGACTGCAATTTCAGTCTCTTTTGTGATGACATTGCAATTTCTTTGTAGAGCAGTTCAGAAAAAAGATTGGAATTTTTCCTAGGTGAATTGCTGATAGAACCACATCTCTTTCTTAGTTCTTGTCCTTCCTCTGATGAAAATAAAAAAAAAAAAAGAGGTTATTCTATGAGATATTGGAACCACAAAATAATGAGACAAACACAAATAAAATCCATCTTAAGAATAAAACAGATATCCATGAATGCAATAGTTCAACTGTAACATAGCATAAAGAGAGGGCAGACTGAAAGTAAAAAAGCTGATGGGGATGGATTTTCTTTACCTATTTTGTAATAGTTTTTCTTTTGTAAAAGTAATGAAAGAATAGGTAGGGAGGAGGGGAGAATTGGTGGGAAGATAAGACACGCATGCCTGGTGCTGAATAAAAGACGATTTGTACCTAGTACATTGTAGAAATTGTTCAAGAACAGTTCAGCCATGTAAAAATATGACCCTGTAATACTGCCAAGGTCAATCAAACTCATAGTTATTGACTCAGAAAGAACTGGCCTTACAGGATACCACTGTTCCAAGCCTGCTAAAATTTATACTTCCAATTATTAACATTTAGAAGATATATTTGAATACTGAGAAATTAATTGTGCAAAAATTATGATAAAAAAACCTCATCTTTTTATTTTTCCTAGTGGATAAAACTTTAAAGAGATGCCATGAAAATCTAAAATAGCTACCTAGTCACTCTGTCACAGCACTATTATTTTCATTATTTGAATAGCAGTTATTGCTATTGGATATTTTTCTTATTTACATAGTTATTTGTTTGGCTTTATTTCTCTAATACAATTTAAGCCCCGTAAGAACAGCTATCAGCCTTTTATTCAAAGCTTATTGTGCAAATTAAATAAATATTGACTCATAAATAATAATCTGTAGAGAGTTACCCATTAAACTCCAAATCTATATACCTCAAAACCAATAATCACAGTGTCCATGATTGAATAAGAATAAAGAATATGTTGAAGAGTATGTTTATTTTTATCCCATTTATGCAAAAGAATAAAACATGTTTTTATTTTCCCCAAAAAGGAACCATTTGTATGTGTATTACTTGTTAAAGATAATGCATGTACATAAAAATTTGCAAGTCTACAACTTTTTTTTTTAATTACCAAATTATAATCCATTTTTTGTTCGAATGATTCAGATTAGGGAAGTTTTACATTTTTTAGACTTCTGTTTCATTTGAGTTTGTTACAAGGAATTGGCATTAATTTAATAATTTTTATAAAAGAAAAAAATAAAATCATGAGGTCAAATTCTGTAATATAATGGCTTTGGAGACAGCTATTGGAACAAAATCGGAATCTGAATTCATAGCAAATTATGATTTTGATTTTCTCTCTCATTCTCTGTTTCTGTTACTAGAATAATGAAATCTTTCCCAGGTTTCAGTTCCTGTCCCCAGCTCATCCCAATAATATATTTTCTAACCACCTTTCTACCCCTGACCATCACCCCATTAAAATTTTTCTGCCCAATAATATTCCTAGGCTGAGCCAACTTTCAGGTTGTACTTGATAGCAAAAGGGGAAAATGGACAGTCTTAAGAGACAGGATTAAAAAAGATTCAAGATGTCAGGGGAACACGAGAAGATGGCAGGGGAAAGGCTGGGGGAAAGTGAGAAGAGGTCTAAAGAGATTTCTTCTGCTTCCTACCTTCTCCCTAAAGCAGAGCACTTAAATGTCTCTCTGTACACAGATCCAGGCAATATGCTTTAGAACTAGAAATACAGGAGTATCAAGTATCCCCACGTCTGAGCTGGCATTTTGCCTACTCGTCCATGAACTCTCTCACTGGGTACATCCTGAAGCCTTCTTGGAGACTGCAGGTCATAAATGTGTGTGATTAATTGCCTATGTTGAAACCAAAAATAATGTTTCCAGAACATTCAGATTACAGGGTGAAGCAAGAGGCCGGCGGGTGACAGCAAAGGTTCTGTTAGGGAACCTGACGGGGATGGCTGAAGAAAGATTGCACTCGCTTGGGGTAACCTAGGAAATATTTCTGGTAGATAGAACAACAATAGGATAAGACTAGACAACAGGAATTTGTTACAGATTGTGAAAGATACCTAATAAATTGAAAAGGACACAGGCTAAAGGACAGAGACTTAGGTAAGAGCAGAGGTATATGTGAAGCAATTGTTAAGACAGGTTCACAACTTAGCTTCTAAATACAATTAACCCATGTTGATAGATCATTAGAGGTATCTACTGCCTATGGGTAAGAGCAAATGATTTGTTATTTCCCTCTTCTGGTTTATAAACTATAATTGTCTCTCTTGGGATTATAACCGTGTGTACAGAAAAACGTATATATGTGTGTGTGTGTGTATATATATATATTATATGTAAAAATATATTAAATATATTACAGCAATAACGGGAAGCCAGTGGTGGCTTCAGTTGTGGCCCTACACTCTTAAAGACTTGCTTCTCACTGTTGAAGACCACCCCACACATTTGGAACAGTGCTTACCGGTCCAGAATCCTGCAGCCATCCTGCTACTTCAGTTGTGAGGTTTGCCAAAGGCAGTTCATGTCTGAAACCTCAGCAATTGCTGTTAAACAAACACAGACACTTTCCAAGGGCAAGCTCATTCCCGGGGCTGGGGCAGACCCCGTCCTGTGGTTTACTAGTCCCTGGACCTGTCTCCCACTCCTCCTCCTGCTCAGTGACCTACCCAAGGGAGCAGTAGCTGATCTTGACTTCTTTCCTCGCAATATCCAAATTCGTCATACACCTCCCTTTCGCAAGAGGCAGCTTTCACTGAAGTAGAAAGGTGATAGAACCTTCCAAGGGCGGTTCTGAAGTAAGTCCAAGGTGTCTCAGTGGTAAAGAATCTGCCTGCCAATGCAGAAGATGCAGGAGACGTGCTTTGATCCCTGTTGGGAAGATCTCCTGGAGGAGGAAACGGCTACCCACTCCAGTATGCTTGCTTGGAAAAGCCCATGGACAGAGGAGCCTGGAGGGCTAGAGTCCATGGGGTCACAAAGAGTTGGACACAACTGAGAGACTAAGTCCCATATGTCTACCTACCTTTCTAAATCAGGCTACCGTCTGTGACTCTAAGGTGATGTCTGGTGATTTCTTTTTTTTTTCCCATTTATTTTTATTAGTTGGAGGCTAATTACTTTACAATATTGTAGTGGTTTTTGCCATACATTGACATGAGTCAGCCATGGAGTTACATGTATTCCCATCCCGATCCCCCCTCCCACCTCCCTCTCCACCCCATCCCTCTGGGTCTTCCCAGTGCACCAGCCCTGAGCACTTGTCTCATGCATCCAACCTGGGCTGGTGATCTGTTTCACCCTAGATAATATACAATCCTGGCCTAAACTATGTACTCTCAGGCACTTCTCTCTCTAAAGAAACGGACAAACACAAATGTAATTTCTGATTGTCACTACAGTGTAGAGGACCCCTATGCCTCTGGGTCTTCCCAGTGCACCAGCCCTGAGCGCTTGTCTCATGCATCCAACCTGGGCTGGTGATCTGTTTCACCCTAGATAATATACAATCCTGGCCTAAACTATGTACTCTCAGGCACTTCTCTCTCTAAAGAAACGGACAAACACAAATGTAATTTCTGATTGTCACTACAGTGTAGAGGACCCCTATGCACACGTTAACTTCTGCTTTCAGAATTAGAAATAGTGTGGCAAGGTACAAATCACTATCTTTAGATGTCTTGAAAACCTCAGGGCTTCATGATCCTCTTCAGAGTAGAACTTTGTACTCATGAAAACTTTTTTGGATGTAAATAACAGAAACATAACAGGATCTATCAAAAGCCAAAAAAGCACATTCATTAGCTCACCTCACAGAATGCCAAGTAGGCCCATGTGGTATTGTCAGGGCTCTCATTATGTATCTCAGAGCTGCATGAGTTACTGTGTCTTTTAGTATTGACCTAAGATTCTCCATGTCAGGGAAGGTTGTCAAGCCCATACCCTTACAGGGTTTAAGCCAAAAGAAAGAGAGAATGTTCTTAAATATATATATATATATATATATATATATATAGTGTGTGTGTGTGTGCATATATATGCAGTTTTACTCCAATTTATTGAACGGCATGAGTGTTTTGCTTGACTGTCTGGATCACACATGGGCCCTGTAAATCTTTGTGAATAGGCGACTGGGGTTCCACGACTAGCCAAGTCCGATGATAATTCCCTTTAGGGTGAGGTCGCTCAAGATTGCCAGTGTGGAACAGCCACAAAAACACACGGAAAGAGAAGAAACATTACCTCAATGACAAAAGAAAAGCCAAGTTTAAGTCAAACTGGGAAAAGGAGGTTGCACTGAGTCTCCTTAAGCTTGTGACCGGCTGAGTCTACAAGGTTCTCCTGAGAGCCATAGTCCATCCAATCCTGTATGTGGCTTCATCAGACATTCAGGTAAGAACAAAAGACTCAGTACAAACCTTTGACCTCATGTCCACAGATTTGAGCTGGGTCTTTGGGGCTAAACTACAGACTTGTTTGATAAAATGTGCTGTCACTGATGCAAATTGGAAAGTCAGTAATAGCCTTATTGACTTTGGTGCCAGAGCATGAGACCTAAAAAGTCATTTGTTCTGCAATCCTTTAGAAGAACAAGGGCCAGGTAATATGATCTTCTTCTGCTGTGGTATTACTGGAAAAAGGATTGGACTTTTGTTCTAGTTTCATTTTCTGTTAATATGTAGTTGTAGCCGAGGGCAGTTTATTTCACCTCCTTGGAACTTGGTTTTCTAACGTGTTAAAGGAAGTGGTTATGCTGGTTGATCTCCAGCATTTTTGATCTTTCAGCTCTGAATTTTTAAGGTTTAATTTTTTTCATTGGCTTTCTTCTGACACTTGGGCTGGAAAAGATGAGACCATGGTAAGAGATGGGCAAGTCACGGTACTAGACAATTGGAAAGGATATCTAAAAGGTCATTAAAAGACATATGGTTATCTTCTATTTGTTTTCGTTTTCTAAAAAGATATCAATTCCAATGCCATTATTTGCTTTTGAATTAAAAAAAATTACATGCTTATTTTAAGGAACATTTTAAAAGGACAATTATTGAAGTCCAGCGAAGCAACTTTAAAAATCAGTTAGAAAAAGGACTTAAACCCTAACAAGTAAATGCAATGATTGGACCTTGTTTTGACTGTGGCTTGAACAAAACAGCTGTAAAATATATATTTTTCACAATTGTAGGAGATTTGAATATCATAGCTATTAGAAGGTATTAAGAAATTACAATTATTATAATTTTCCTAAATGTGATAATAATACAGTTATATTGCAAATTATGGGGGGAAATGAGAAGTTGTTCTTATTTTTTAGTGATGTGTAGTTAAATACTTAGGATTATATGTTATGACAGCTGTGATTCACTTATAAACACATATAATCAAATGAGATATAGTATTAGCAATGAGAAATCTCCAAGTTTCTATGGTTATTTCTGTACTATTTTCTCAGTTTTTCTGTAATCTTAAAAATTAAAAACAAAACAGCACCCCAAAACACAATCAACTGGAGATGATTATCTTTTAAAATTTCAAGCTGTGCTCACCTTACATCTTTAGTTTAAATATAATTCAAATTTTCAGTTTTCCCAGGTGAAATAGCAATTTAATGCCTTTAAGTCAGCTAAAATATGACTCCTGGATTTTTAGCTTTAGCAAAGAGTTATAAGGTAGCAAAGTAGCAGTCTATTTCTTAGGAAATAATGGTGTTAGAATCTTTAATATTAAACACCCCCCCCCCATACACATAGATACCTGAACCCTTGTGGTTTTTGCTAATTGTGCAAATGAGGCTGAATGATGTAGTGGCTATGCATTCAGACCCTAAAGCCAAAGGCCTGGGTTGGTTGGGATCTTCCTTGCCCTGCCACTTATTACGTGTGTGACCTTGAAAAAGATACTTAACACCCTGTACCTCAGTTTCCTCAGCTGTAAAATGGGAGTAAATGTTATCACCCATGTGAAGGGATCCTTTTGAGCATTAGGAGCTCATTAGGAGTACATTGCACTTAACACAGTTCTTGGTGCTTAACAAGTATTAATCGTTGTTTGTTTATTTTGCCAGGAAAGCCAGGAGTGGTCAAGGTCAATGCTCAAAGAGAAATACCTTTACAGTTCAAGTGATGAAACTTGTTTGTCCTAATGTGAACAGCACTGAGATAGAGAGATTTTTAAAACCAGAACGGGCAGTGTGGCATTGTGGCATCTGTTCCATCTTAGTAATTTCCCATAACAAGTGGTTTAAAGTTTTCTCAAAACCCTAGAAAACTAGTATCAGATACAAAGCCTGTCTCAAGAATCTCCAGAAATAACTACATTTTCCCAACAAATTCAGGCTGGAAATATATTTGGTAGATGCTTCATGGTACTTGGCAGACATATTAAAATGATAGTGTGGCTATTATTACAACATATCCTGCAATCATTTATAACCAAGTAAGACTCCTTCATTAGCTTATGTATGTATCATAAGTGCTTATTGAAAACCAAGGACTTGATCTCTTTGTAATACATTAGTTTCCCATTATTTCTGACCTTGTAAAATTAAATATTGCCCAAGAATATGAAACAAGAAAATTTTTTTTTCAGCAGAGCTACATCATTATCCTTTTGCTTTCTCGACCATATTAGGAAAATTCAAGGCTATTTAGATTTATCTAATAAAACTTTAGAGAAACTGCCAAAGACTTCGGTTTCATATTTGTGGTCAGGTTTTTATTTAATAATGGTGCCTGCAGTTTAACCAAAGTCAATCTTTTTTCTTTAGCAAGATAAGTAGTAGATGACTTCTCTATTGAAGAATCTTCCATAGCCTTTGAGTCCTCCATCATGCCAACCTGATTCTTTGCACATCACAAAAAGCTGTTTAAAATAATGTATATGGAAGTTAACTAGCTTTCTGGTGGAGATCATTTCACAATATATATAAATATCAAGACATTATGTTGTACACCTGAAACTAATATAATCTTATAGTTCAATTATACCTCAATAATGGAGAAGGAAATGGCAACCCACTCCAATATTCTTGCCTGGAAAATTCCATGGACAGAGGAGCCTGGTGGGCTACAGTTCATGGGGTCACAAAGAGTCAGCCACGACTGAGTAACTGAGCACAAACCTTAATAAAAGATAATTTGTACAGCTGGAATTGTTGTATGACTAGAATTTGCAAAAAGAAATTCTTTAGCGTCTTGGAGCAACTGCAAGAAGCTAAGTCCTTCAAATTCTTACGTTAAGGAGAAACCAGGTAAAAGAGACTAAGTGACTTAGACTTGAATCCCTTATCCATTTGATTTCAACTTAAATCAGGGAAATTTGTTCTTCTCAGAGAGCTGTTGATATCCCTTTGGAAGCAAGGTCATTTCAGTTCAAATCACATCACTCTCTTTGCAAACAAGTCCAACTGCAGTGTAGCACAGAAACGGAGCTGTCTAGACAGGAAGAAAAGGACTCGGCTTCTTTTGGTCCCAGAAACTCAGTATCTGGTTAAAACGGAAGCAATGGCTCTGTAACTATATGGAACACAACTGTGCTAAGAGCAAAATAGAAGTTTGGATTTTTTTTTTTTTTAGATAAAAGGTATCAGATTAAATGAACATGCACCCTAGAGTTCTCTAGTAAGTAAAAGTCATGTTGATAATATGATGAAGTCTTATTTACCATTTCCAACTATTGCTCTCTCTCTCTCTTCTAACAGCTTTTAAGTTTTCATTTTTCTGCTCTAGTTTTAGTACTGAGAAAAGTACCTAGATCTTAAACGTATCTATTCAACACTATATAAGGAGGTGTGTACACAGGTATGGACTTCCCAGGTGGCTCAGTGATAAAGAATCTGCCTGCCAATGCAGGAGACACAGGAGACGTGGGCTCAGTCCCCAGGATCGGGAAGATACCCTGGAAAAGGAAATAGCCACCCGCTCCAGCATTCTTGCTTGGAGAATCCCATGGACAGAGGAGGCTGGTGGGCTACAGTCCATGGGGTTGCAAAGAGTCAGACAAAACTGAGAGACTGAGCACACACACAGAAATATGCTCACCAAATATTGGGTCTTCCCAATTCTCTTTTTCAGCTCCTTATGACATCATTTTCAACCATCACTACATCCAATATCTACATACTTATAAAAAAATCTATTATATCTATAAACTTACATGCTTACAAACAAATATTATTAATATCATTATTAGCAGGTGGTGAATTTGTCCCATTTCTTCAGTTTCTTTAGGCTCCTTTGCTCTCCCTCAAGTCTGGCCCCACCTGGTTACTAGAGGAATTTGCAGACCTCGTGAAAACGTGAAACGGTCCTGGTTCCAAGTCAGCTTTTATGGGCGGCTTTCTGTGAGGTCGAATTCACCCAAGCATTTGTGTAGCGGTTCAAGAGCCCCACAAGGCGTGTGTCTGCTGCCTACACTCTCCAGTGGTGAAGCGGGCAAATTTGGACACAGCAGCTGGTCCTGAAGACAGCTGGAAATAACCCGGTCTGATAGGATCAGCTATCAGAGGCAAGGCGGCAGCGCCGCGTGGAAACAGCACGCTATCTCTGAGCCTCTGAGGCGGTGCCACAGGCGGCCCCAGGCTCAACCTGCCCTCAAAATAGCCGTGAAGCCACCTCATATGCAGACTTGCCCCCGTGGAATGAGAATCGCAGGCTTTTAGTTCTGAAAAACCCCTTCGAGCCTGTGTCACAACTCTCTTGTTTTGCAGATTAAAAACAACAACTAGGACTTCCCCGGTGGTTCCGTGGCTAAGACTGCATTCTCAACCCAGGGGACCTGGGTTTGATTCCCGGTCAGGGAACTAGATCCCACATGCCGCAACTAAAGATCCTGTGAGTTACAACTAAGAGTCAATGCAGACAAACTAGTAAATAAATATTTTTTTAAAATGACAACAACGAAAACAAAAACTCACAACCAGGAACACAAAGATATGTGCGACATCCATAGCTGTCGCATATGCCTGCATGGATGTGTGATTAAGCCCTCTAGGGATCCACATAGATTCGTGTATCATTCGATTGCTCTTAAGTTAGTATATTTGTTTTCTCCCAAAGAGCTAACTCTGCAGATCCAAAATAAAAAAAATAAAAAAAAATCTCAGATTTAGTCTTGAATATCAAAGTAAATATTTGGATCCACCCTCAATGCAAATACCCTCAGAATGAGTGATGTGACCCATTATGTGGTTCCTTCATGTCAGCCTTTGTCTGGGACCAGACACGGAAACTGCTAAGACGAAAGGCATGGTGATCTAAGGGTGTTCACAGTCTAGTGTCAGAAACAGATATATGAGCAAATAATTAAGAGACGTTACAAGTCACATAGGGGATTAACATGAAGTATCAGCATGCGGCAAAGGAGCTGAGTAGTAGGTGGGTAGAAAATCTAGTCAAGGAGCCCAGAAAAACTCGTATTTAAATTAAATCTCTCTAGTAACATTTGAATTCTACAGAAGGTAGTGAAAAGGATGTAGTATTTTAGGCAAGAAGGAACAACATTTTATTTAATCAAGCCAGTGTCTACCAGTCACCATTTTCTCTCTTAGCCTTCTGGTTTACTGTCTAACACAGCTAAAATTTGTGTAAATGAAATGTTTTAAGAGTCTCCTTTGAAGCAACACTCATGACCTTCTTTATTTTCCTTTGTTCTTAGAGAATCTTATATCTTATTACTTGGTTCGTGTTTGTGTTCTCTTTGATTCAGGTTGTCAGAAATATGACCCTAGGATGTACAAGAGGCATTATATGTGGAAGGTCACTAAACATCAGCTGGTGTTAATTCTCAAACGAGGGGGAGCATTGAGAGTTTGGGAAATTGTGAAAGTCATCCAGAGCAGAAGGACTTTCATTATGATCTCAGATTAAAAGTAAACAAGATATTCACAAAAAATAGGAAGGACTAAAGGACACATTCTTAAAGTTCAAGTTTTTTGGAGTCAAGGACATTTAAATTAAGACAATATGCTGTCATCATTGCATTTCCCTAGTGGTTCAGCCATAAAGAATCTGTTTGCAGTGCAGGAGATGCAGGAGGCATGGGTCCAAGCCCTGGGTTGGGAAGATTCCCTGGAGATGAAAATGGCTACCCACTGCAGTATTCTTGCCTGGACAATCCCATGGACAGAGGAGCCAGGTGGGCTACAGTCCATGGGGTCGCAAAGAGCCAGACATGATTTAGGGACTGAATACACATGCACAATATCATTATTTGTCTACAAATTGATATCCATGCAGACGATTTCTGTGTGTGTATACAAACTCACAAATCTTATATATTTTATATATATAAAAAATATATAAAATCATATATTTTATACAAATCTTATATATTTTAAGATAAAAATATGTACTTACTATATAAGTATATAATTAATATTTTGCTAAACTGCCTTTAAGATTTATAAGCCCACAGACCCCTCATCCCAAGAAGATACCATGTATGCACCTAGACCATGATGCAAAGATGTTCATGGTAGAAATAATATTTAATACCCCACCTGCCGAATGGAATAAACCTAAGTGTTTGATAATAGGATATACTTTAAATATCTTGATATACCCAGTTAGTGGAATGTAATATGGCCATTAAACATGATGTTCTTCTAGAAATCATAAGGATTAACATAATAGACATAAAGTACTTAGGAGTGCCCAGAACCTAATAAATGCTCATTCCATGTTAAATTATCATCATCATCATCATTATGATCATATCTTAAGATGCAGTGAGATGTTCCTATATATATATTGAAAAATAAATACAAAGCAGTATGTAAATTATGATACCAATTAAATATATGTATACACACATATAGGGCTTCCCAGGTAGTGCTAGTGGTAAAGAATATGCCTGCCAATGCAGGAGACGTAAGAGATGCAGGTTCAATCGCTGGGTTGGGAAGATCCTCTGGAGAAGGGAATGGCAACCCACCGCGGTATTCTTGCCTGGAGAATCGCATGAGCAGAGGAGCCTGGCAGGCTATAGTCTGTGGGGTCGCACAGAGTTGGACATGACTGAAACATTTAGCATGCATGCCTGCATACACATGTATATTTACACATTCACATATACATGTGTGTACACTACTGTGCTCAGTCACTCATTCATGTCCAACTCTTCATGACTGCATATTTGAAGCCAGGTCTCCTGCATCTTCTGCATTAGCTGATGGACTTTTTACCACTAAGCCATCTGGGAAGCCCATACATGGATACGTGTATGTGTGCGTGTACATATATAAATATTTACACATTTGGCAAAAAGATGGAGAGTGTGTTAGTTTACTAAGCTGCCATAACAAAGTACTACAGACCAGGTGGCTTAAACAAAAGACGTTTACTGTCTGACAGTTCTGGAGGCTAGAGGTCTGAAATCAAAGTGTCAGCATGGTTGGTCCTTGCTGAGGGCTCTGAAGGAAGAGTCAGCTCCAGGTCTCTCCCTTTTGCTTGCAGAGCTGTCTTCTCCCTGTGTCCCCTCATATAGTCTTCTCTCTGTGCATAACGGTGGCCATGTTTTCCCTTTTTATAAGGACATCAGTCATGTTGGATTAGGGCCACACTAATGACCTCACTTTAAGCTGATTACCACTGTAAAACTCTTTCCAAGTAAGGGCACAGTCTGAGCAAGTGGGACTAGGACTTCAATATTTGAATTTGAGAGGGAACACAAGTCAACCCAGAATGTCTGTATATCAGTAATTCTAGAATTATATATGACATTTTAGCTTGCTCTTTTTGCTTACTTGTTATTTTCTATGATGGACCATTGCCCTTAATTAAATTTTAAAATGCTATTAAAAAAAATACCATGCCTCAGAAAGCCAGATACCCTATTTAAAATTTTAAATGAAAATACTTTTAATTCTCTGCACTTCCCTATTCATTTTTAATATCACCTCCATTTCTACTGCATAAGACTAAGCCTAGAGCTTCTAAAGAATGTTTAATGTTTCTTATGCAGAGGAGAAATTTGGAGATTGAAACTCTGGACATTCAAACTATGTATGCTGATATACTGTATGTGATATGGTGCTAAGTCACTTCAGTCGTGACTGAGTGCGATTCTATGAACTGTAGTCTGCCAGGCTCCTTTGTCCATGGGATTTTCCAGGCAAGAATACTGGAGTGGGTTGCCATGCCCTCCACCAGGGGATCTTCCCAACCCAGGGATCAAACTCGAATCTCTTGTGTCTCCTGCATTGGCATGAGACTGTTGGATGGCATCACTGACTCAATGGACATGAGTTTGAGCAAACTCATGGAGATAGCGAAGGATAGAGAATCAGGGCATACTGCAGCTCATGAGGTCACAAAGAGCTGGTTATAACAGACTGAGCAGAAACAACAAAACAAAGATATCAAGTTTATATGGGAAGAGTTCACACTTAAAAATAGCTTTGAAATCTATTGTTTGAAAGTGCTAGTCATTTGACTGTAAGCTTCCCTGTTCATTTATAGGTGGGGTGTTCTATGACATGAGTTCATTGTCCATAGTTAATATAAATTATCTATATATTATGTTAGGTGGCTTATATGTCTAAGGCTTAACCAACAATAATTATTGATCTAGTTTTATAAAATAAATCAGATATCAAAAAAAGTCAGGTTCTTTACTAATATTCCTAGTGATACTATGGAATTGCAAAAATAAATTATTGAAGAAGGGTTGGTGGCTAATTCCTTGGAGGGTAAGAAAATTATTACTCATTATGTTAAGTAATGTCTTATATCAACATGTAAATAACTTTAGTGATTACTTGGAAAGAAAACTACTCCAAAGAGAAAGTTCATGTGTCGAATTTGTTTAGTTATTCATCTAATTTAGAGCTGAAAGGTTTTTCGAATGATATTACATATGAAACTATGTCACTAAAATTTATTAGTGCTCAGAGCAAGGGACTTTACCTATAAATACAGATTTAAATAGCTGCATGCTTGGTTATCCCTGATAAGTTAAATCAGATAAGATATTTAATATATAATTCTCCATTTTATGTTAGAAGAGATCCTACCCATCTCCTTGTTTCTGTCAGTTTGTAGCTTGGATGGGAAATTAAAAGTTAATTTTGTCTTTGTCCTTTTCTCTTTTTCTTATCAGCAGTGCCTGGGAGGCACGGTGAAGTATGCTGAAAGTGACCTTCAGCTTACTCATATCATCTTGACACAAGTGAGCCAGGCTCTACCCTTGTAATTTTCATTATTAACCACAAGAAGAGGAGCTTCTCTCAGTAGGAAATACAGCATCCAAAAATATATAGGTATTTTATACATCTCATGTGTGATGACTTAAAGAAGGCTGCAGGGGTAGAGAATCAATAGAGAAGGTGATGTGTGAAGGAGAGAAAGTTATAGCTGAAACTGCCATCCTGCAGAGGGTGAAGTGATTTACCCAAGGTTAGCATCAGAACTTGTCTTTAGGGGCACAGTCCGAGCTAGAACCCAGGGGTCCTGGCTACCAGTGTGGAATGCCTTCTCCAATTCCTTCCTGTCTGAGTTGGTGGAAAAGCAAATGAGTTGGTTTTTTTTTTCCCTTCCCCAAATCAGTTAATATCACTGGTTTAGGCGTTGCACATCCACATGTCAAGGGGTCATGTTATTTCTTTACCTCTGCCCTATTCATATTTTTGTCTCTCTCAACTGAAATCAAAAAGCACAGCTTGTAAGTTCAGAAAGTGGCTCCATGTCAACTTTCCCCCTGTAAATTATTTTTATGAGCATACCAACCAAGGGCATCTCGAAAACACATGATCGCTTTTGGCATCTAACCAACCCTTCTCTTTTTCCCCCACTTTATGGGTAAAAAAAAGACTTTTTCTGGTCATTCTTCTCAAACCGGGTCCTTGAAACTTCTGTAATGTATAATGTTAATACATCAAGTAGCAAAGAAAAAAAAAAAAAGTAGCCCTGATGAAAACAGTCATCTGGGAGTTCAGGCTCCTGTAATCTACTCCCATTTCTTAGATATATGGAGCATGTGAGTAGAGGCTATTCCTGCATCACTTTTCCCTCAGTAAAAAGCTGATTTTAGAAGAATGTCTTGGTTAGGAGTTGCTCCATTAAAAATGCTAGAACTACAAGTCTCTTGCATTATGGCTGATTAGATAGCTAGGGCTGTTAATGACTCTGCTGAGTGTTTGATGAAAGGTGCTGTGTCAAGATCTTCACTTGGATTGCCTGAGTAACCACTGTGTGTTCAGTCAACACAGCGCAGGACATCTGAATTCAGCAAAGGACACAGTGCTGCAGGCCCTGCCCTTGGGAGCCTTCGCTATGAACATGCCAGAGCAGAGATAGTGACCTCATACGTCGCAGGGAACATCTTCCCTGGATTGTCCTGAAGTCACCTCAAACTCAACACGTCTGAAATAGAACGCAACCCTTCTCACACATCCAAGGGGTCACATGGTTTCTCCATTTGCTCGGACTAGAAATCACACTTTCACGCCAGTGGGTCTGTACTGTCTCCTATTATTGATGCTTTCCGTCTGTCTCCTGTGTAGGCTGGCATCGGGCTTCCTCCCACTTTTATAATGACTTCAGGGATGGTCTCTGCAAATGCAGATTCACCCTGGCCAGCCCACCCTCTGTGTTGTTAAAGGGATAACTTCCTAAAACTGACTATTATGTTAACCACCTTCCCCTAAAACCTTCAGTGGCTCCTTGCTGTCTGCTGTATCAGTTCTAAAGTACTCAGCCTTAGAGGCAAAGCCCTTTCATGAAAGAGCTCCATTATGCCTTTTTAAGGCTCATCTGGGACAACACCATTAATGCAATACATCAATATCCTCCAAATATGTTCTGTATTCTTCAGCCTTGAAGTCTCTTCTCATACAATCCCCCTAATAAAATTCTTTACCCATTTGAACCATCTTTTAAGGTACTAGCAAACTTTTGCTTCCTTCTTGAGGATACAGAGTATGTGTCAACATTTGGGTTACCTTGGGCCACCCCAAGATGGAACTAGAGCAGGCTCCCCTCATTCACATACACGATCAAATCATAAAACATGGAAAGATGAGAGGATGTGATTATGGGAATTGTTGGCTGGATATGAACAGGTAGGATTACCCTACAATGTGTCATATTTTGAAGACAGACTCAAATTGTAAGCATGACCCATGCATCAGTTTTATTATAGAGAGAACCACAAAAATATATATAACCTTGCAGTTACATATGTATATATAACTGCGACCAGGGATGAGAGATAATGAAGATCGGTGGGCAGATGTATACAGATGGTGAAGTGAAGATCTTCAGTGTCATCTTTGTTTTACAGTTAAGGGAGGAGGGCTGTTTAGCAATGGTTTCATTTCAGTACTCAAAACCCAAATCACTGTATAGAATGTATATATTTAGACAGTAAATTAAGCTTTTCATTTTCTTTTACTTGATGTGTTTCTTTCAAATATGTTTATCCAAACACATTTTCAGGGAGGGGTGGAAAATGCCAGTTACACAAGAAAATCTATCCTCTGCCCGACTGAAGAAATTGTTCAAACAGAATGCATTCTTTCATAAGCACTGCTTCCTAACTCAACCAGGGTCAGTAAAGTCTTAGGTTATTAGTTATGTAATCCCTAGTTCCTCAAACTGCAGTTTTGATTTGAACACGCGGTTTCAATTAGTTGCTTCAGATTTTTGCCCCTAGATAGATCTCATTTTTAGAATCAAGGCAGACTGAGATAATCGTAACATTTTAGAATCATTCCTGACTTTGCAGATAACACACCTGACCTCTAAGAGGTAACTTCACCAGAATCACAGCTCCAAGCCCAAGCTCCATAAAACCCTGAGTTGTGTTTTCCAAGAAGATATGCTGAAGCCCTAACCCTTGGTATCTGAAAATGTGACCTTATTTGGAAACAGTTTTTTGCAGACATGTTTAAGATGTAAATTAAGGTGAGGTCATCGTGGAGTATGCGGGTGCTTAATCCAATATAACTTGAGTCCTTTTAAGAAGAGAAAGGAGATGAGACAGACACACAGGAAGAATACCACGTGACCACAAAAGCACTCCAAGAAACCCCACCAGAAGCTAGAAAGAGGTAAGAAAGGATTACACTCAGAGTTTCAGGGGAAACATGATCCTCTTAATGGCTTCATTTTGGACTTATTCTAGATTCTAGAATGGTGACAGAATATATATGACAGAATATATATGTGCCATTTTAAACCACCTGGTTTGCGGTACTTTGTTACAAGCAGACTTTGGAAACTCACACACCTCTCTCTCTTTTCGGATGGCTCGTTTTATTTTACATTATGTTCTCTTAGAACTCTCAGAAGAAAATGAATTGGGTGGCGTCTGGGTGCCAGACAGTGACTTGAACTTGGTGAAATCACCAAGGCCTTGCCTCACATGCTCGTCCTGAAGCTCATCACTTCTGACCTTTGGGGCCATTATTATCCATGATTCCATGCCCAGAACTGTGCAGATGCTTCCATATCTTGTTTTATTCAATTCTTACAAAACAGATTCTAAAATTGCTACCATTATTTATGCCCGTTTTATAGATAATAGAAGCTGAGGTACAGAAAGGTTAAATAACTTACCCAGAATCACATGGCAAGAAAACGATGGAGTTGAGATTACAAACTACATCCAACAGACTTTAAAACCCACATATTCCACTTGATACTATAGTGTAGAAAATGACCGTGAACTGTTTATCTTAGAAATTCACCTTGGAAACCCCCCAGATTTATTTGAAGTTCCTTCAGAATTTAGCTCCAATGTTTTTTCTAGCCTCATCTCTTACCATTATGCCCTATCACACACACACACACACACACACACACACACACACCATAGGAGGATTTTTACATTCCCTGGAACACACAGGCTCTTTCTTCCCTCCATTTCCTGCATTCTCTTTTCTTGACACCAGATGCCTATCCCCAACACCTTATACACATTGTGAACATGATCCAGAGGAAACATCAGCCTCTCTCTGAGTCCCCTAAACTCCATACATAGTTGTATGGAGTCCCCTAAACTCCATCCTTCTTACAACACTATTCAAGCTTATATTCTAACAGTGGGCTGGGACTAGGGTGAGGCTCATGAGTCACCCAGGCGTGGTGCCGGAGGAGACAATTGAGGAGACACTCACTGTTAGGGTCTAAGAGCAGAGTAATCAGTGGGATATTCATTTATTTTCATTCCTGCAGTAGGGTATCTCCTGGAGCAAATTCTGCTGTACTGGGGGCAGAGGAAACACACAAGAGGAAGAGAGAGGAGATGATCCTCTCCGACAAGGAAGAGAATGGAGTTGGGTGACTTCTAAAGGCCACGGGAGTCAGGCAGGCCCTACCCTTAGTTGCTGTTCAGTCTCTCAGTCATGTCTGACTCTTTGCAACCCCATGGACTGCAGCACCCCAGGCTTCCCTGTCATTCTTTATCTCCCTGAGTTTGCTCAAACTCATGTCCATTGAACTGATGATGCTATCCAACCCTCTCATCCTCTGTCGTCCCTTTCTCCTCCTGCCTTCAGTCTTTCCCAGCATCAGGGTCTTTTCTAATGAGTTGGCTCTTCCCATCAGGTGGCCAAAGTATTGGAGCTTCAGCTTCAGCTTCAGCATCAGTCCTTCTGAAGAATATTCAGGGTTGATTTCTTTTAGGATTGATTGGTTTGATCTCCTTGCTGTCCAAGGGACTCTCAAGAGTCTTCTCCAGCACCACAGTTTGAAAGCATCAGTTATTCAGTGCATAGCCTTTTTTATGATCCAACTCTCATATGACTACTGGAAAAATCAAAGCTTTGACACTATGGACTTTGGCAGCAAAATGATGTGTCTGCTTTTTAATATGCTCTCTAGGTTTGTCATAGCTTTTCTTCCATGGAACAAGCATGTTCCATCCTTTAAAGCATCTACTCTTAGCAGAGCCCTGCAAAATAGCAAGAGCGTGGCAGGCAGGGAGAGCTGTCCATTTATCTAGCAAATTGGTTTTGGGTAACAGGGTCCAGTGTTCTTGAGGATCCAGTGGCCTATGTGTGTCATGGAAATAGTGGGACTTCCAGACCTCAAGGAATAAGCTAGGAGTGAACCACAGGCATCCGGGAATAATCTGTGTGGACCTAAGATAGTAGAGGGTCTCCTCATATGCTCTGGGCTTTGAAAAACCAAAAGACCTTTGCACAACAGGGGCAAAGCAGGGAGGGATCTTCAGAAATGCCCAAGACTGAACTTCCCAGATGCCCTGCAAGGTTAAAGCTTAGAGTAGTGTTTAATCTCCTTTCAAGAAGATAAAGAAAAACAACATTTATTGCACACATATCTCAGTTTGTGAGGCATGATTCATACCCAAATTATTTGTTTTCCTGACTGTCTCTATTACTGGACCATGAGTCCAGGGCAAAAACTCACACCCTTTTGTCTTTGCATTTTCAGCCTTTGCATGGTGGCTATTGCAAAGCAGGCCCTAAACAAATACTTGCTAAATGGCTGAATGAATAAATGAATCACTCAGTCATGCAGTTAATCAGTCTCTAAGGGCTCTTCATGCCATTTGATCCTATGAAGGAAATGAAAAAGTACCAGATCCTCCAATTCAATCTTTTATTTCAGAACGGAGCTGAAGTCCAGTCCTCCCCACCATGGAAAAAAAAAAAAAAAATTGCCCAAGGCAGGGGGAGGGAGAAGGAAAGGTTGGTTACTAACTTGTAAAGGCTTCCTCTTCCTTTAGGTTTTTGATTTGGGAGGATGAATGAGTGAATTTTCCTGCTCTTTTATTTTGTGTAGCACTAGCTTCCTCCAGGCAATGTGAGAAATCAAAGAGTTAGCTGGGTACCCACATCAGAGAATTTGATTAAGGACTGTGGGAAGCTATCAGGGAATGCTGTTAGGGAAACAGTGCTACCCCTCTGTTTTTCTTCATGCCTACTGAAAACTCAGAACTTCACTAACCGGTTTTTCCAGGTGTGCTCATTCTGGAAGGCCATGACCTGGATAATTTGGCTGAGGAAACTTCTCATGATGATGTGGCTACCTGTGGTGTGCTTACCTGGTTTCCAGGCGCCAAGGACAACAGGATTCAAAATAATATTCTGTGGTAGTTAACATTCACAAGGTTTTTTTTGTGATTTCTTTCATGAGCATTTGTTGTGACTTCTTTCCAGGAAAAAAAATATCTAAGAGCTATGTATCTGGAAAAATAGTCCTGGAGACAGTCAGGAAAAATGAACCAAAAAATAAATATACAAAACCTCTCGTGGAGTAAGTAAGCCATCAGGTTACTCCTCTTTCTCTTCCAAACCGCTTAAGACAATGGTCCACTATTAAATATAAGTTAATGGTCTGATATTAAATATAATTAGTTAAATTGGAAATTTGATAAAAACCAGTTTGTATCACAGGAATCATTGGTTTCCCCAAATCCTTGATGAACAGCGGCATTTCATCCTTCCTATTCCTAGGACTCCTAAGAGATCCCCTTTCCTCTCCTATCCAGCCTGGTTCAGCTCCTGATTAAATTCTTTTCTCTTAGACTAACAGGCTGGCTCTTTCCTTCTCTATTCCAAAGGTTCTATACCCTATTAACTATCTGTAAGAACAGAAGCGTGTTAACTCTCCTAGGAGGTGAGACATAGAGTGTCCGGGAACCTCTATCACCTGAGGACTGTTTGGTTATCTTTCCTCTTCTTTCTTCTGTACCCCTTTTTGTGGTAAGACTCATCCCATCCTTGCTCCTTTTTGGTTCCTCTGGAGTTCAAAGGATTAGGCAATGGGGTTTGATTGCAATACTCTAGCCCCACCCAGGGGTCAGGACTCATGGCCAAGTTCCTCACAAGAGGTCACTGTGGCTGACTGCTCCTGGGCCGCTGAGGCTGCAGCTGCCTGATCTCAGACACATAAGGGCACTTCTGACTCTGCTGGCTGTAAGGTTAGTTTGGCCTGGTGACCACGTGGACGTTCCAATGACCAGGCAGCTCTCCTCTTTTCCTCCTGGGTTCAAGTCTGGAGACACAGATTTTGAAACCAAGAGAAACAGACTTGAGAAACCACAACAGAATTAGAGAGGAAAATGGTATAAAATTTACAGACTAGGAAAAAAAAAATTGCCTCTGTAAGAATATGTTCTTGATTTCTGATAGAAATAGTGTATATCCATTACATCTGTGAACCGAATATTGACCCGATCATGGCTTTTAATGATAGTGTAAGGACAAGCTTATAATTCCTACATCAAGGAATGAAGTTAAATGAAATTAGATAAAAATAAAACTAGTATCTCTAACCTTAAAATTTTCCTGGTGCTCAAAGTTCACTTTCAAAGTTCAACAGCAGCTGGTCTACCTTCATGATCTTCACTAGAGGAACCTGCTTTCCCTCAAGTGTTAGCATTCTTGTGTTAAATTTGCTTCTCCTACTTTATTTCTAGGCTGTTCAGTTTTGTCAAAGTAATCATGTGTTTTAAAGCTGCACATTGACTATGAATCTGTCTTATGTGTTTCTTGATACACCTGTGTATTTAAATAGACACTTTGAAAATGTAAGGTTTTATTTACAATGTAAGCTTTTATTTACAATGTAAGTTTGGGCAAGTTCACCCTTGCACTTCCGTTGAAAGGAGCCTAATCAATTTATGATCTAACTTGCATCACTTCCTCATTGTCTTAAGATTCTCTGATTCAGAACTTGTGGGGAGAGCCTGAAGTTGTTTGGTGCTCAAAGCACCTTTTATTTTTTATGTAAAATATGCTCTGGTGCTCATGCGCTTTTTAAATAGGTCCCAATATCTTGACATAAGCATGCTCTCAGACAACCCAGAACCTGTCATTTTATTCCATTTCATTCTTCAGTTTCTCCCAGGATCCATTTCAAACAAAAGAGTAAAAGTGATTATATAAATACGTTAGGTAAGGGGAAAGGAAGACAGAAATACTTATAAGTTGCAAACAGGAAGAAGAAATTAGGACAAATGGGGCTTTGGAAAGGCTGCAAACCTGTCTGTAAACAAACAGAGACTGCCCTGGAGAACCTTGATATTTGTCTTTGCTCTGATGGTGCATTGTGGTCTAGGAGTTTGACCAACTGGGAAGCCAAGACTTAGGTTCTCAGTTTTATTTCAGACTTGCTGTTCTGGGCTGAATAGCCTTGGACTGGCTGGCCTTGGTCAGGGCTTCTTGATCTGGCAGATATGTAGATTTCTCAATGTTTATAAGTAGAAAGGTTGCTGAGGGGTGAAGAACCTGGTTACAACTAAAGCAAGGCTATCATAGGCGAATGATCAATGCAAGGAGCTTGAGTTTTCACTTGCACATTTGGAGGCAAACTCCAATCTTCTCTGCCCCATACATTGTGTTTGTATTCATGAGGTCCCTGATCATCCGGGCAGTTTGGAATGAGGTGGGGAATGTGTGTGAGGAGCAAAGAAAACCATCTTTTGACAGTCTAAGGTGGTTTTCTGTGCTTTGCACATCCTCTTTCCCCAGCACCAACCTCTGTTTAAACTTAGGAATTTATATCGCAGTGTAAGATTTTATAATTAGCATGACTAGTTATTTGTATTTTTTTGTTCACCCTTGCACTTCCGTTGAAAGGAGCCTAATCAATTTATGATCTAACTTGCATCACTTCCTCATTGTCTTAAGATTCTCTGATTCAGAACTTGTGGGGAGAGCCTGAAGTTGTTTGGTGCTCAAAGCACCTTTTATTTTTTATGTAAAATATGCTCTGGTGCTCATGCGCTTTTTAAATAGGTCCCAATATCTTGACATAAGCATGCTCTCAGACAACCCAGAACCTGTCATTTTATTCCATTTCATTCTTCAGTTTCTCCCAGGATCCATTTCAAACAAAAGAGTAAAAGTGATTATATAAATACGTTAGGTAAGGGGAAAGGAAGACAGAAATACTTATAAGTTGCAAACAGGAAGAAGAAATTAGGACAAATGGGGCTTTGGAAAGGCTGCAAACCTGTCTGTAAACAAACAGAGACTGCCCTGGAGAACCTTGATATTTGTCTTTGCTCTGATGGTGCATTGTGGTCTAGGAGTTTGACCAACTGGGAAGCCAAGACTTAGGTTCTCAGTTTTATTTCAGACTTGCTGTTCTGGGCTGAATAGCCTTGGACTGGCTGGCCTTGGTCAGGGCTTCTTGATCTGGCAGATATGTAGATTTCTCAATGTTTATAAGTAGAAAGGTTGCTGAGGGGTCAAGAACCTGGTTACAACTAAAGCAAGGCTATCATAGGCGAATGATCAATGCAAGGAGCTTGAGTTTTCACTTGCACATTTGGAGGCAAACTCCAATCTTCTCTGCCCCATACATTGTGTTTGTATTCATGAGGTCCCTGATCATCCGGGCAGTTTGGAATGAGGTGGGGAATGTGTGTGAGGAGCAAAGAAAACCATCTTTTGACAGTCTAAGGTGGTTTTCTGTGCTTTGCACATCCTCTTTCCCCAGCACCAACCTCTGTTTAAACTTAGGAATTTATATCGCAGTGTAAGATTTTATAATTAGCATGACTAGTTATTTGTATTTTTTCTCCAAATGATTGCATATTTGCATATTATAGAAAAGATATTCAAACATATCTAAAGTTCTCTTTAAAGGCAACCAAGTTTAAAGAAAGCCCCACTTCTATGAAAATTCCAACTCCTTAGAATGGTTTGGTTTACCCCAACTTGCTGATCAGTGAAACCCATAAATAGTTAAAAACCTCCAGCCCGTGATAAAGAGGAAGTAAAATAGACTTATCTCATGACCCCAAAACACATCAAAAAACTGCAAAATAATTAATTTTTTTTTTTACTTGGCATTTCAACAAAATATTTTAGACTGAAAATTTTATTTCTGAATTGGGTTTTCATCTCAATGTTGGAGTCAAATGAATTTGGAAATAATCATGCTTTCTTTGATTTCAAAATGCAGGCTTTAATAAGAAAATTACTGCTTTTGTTTTTTAAATCATGCAATCACTCAAGAGGAATGGATTCAAAATTATTGCGATTAAGCCTATGAACAATTTACAAAATATAAAAGCTAATTCTTTAGAATAAATATCCCATTCTTAGTAAGTTTTTTTTTTTCCTTTTTCTTTTAATGTTGAGCATTGTTTTCTTTTTAGAGCTCTTTTCTAGCTCTCAGAGCCTAAAAATATGATCTGAACCAACAGCAACTTTTCCCCTCTTCTTTCTTCCTTCTCTTCTCCTTCCTTCCCACCATTCTGGTTTTTATCTCCCTTTCCCTGACCTTTTTCTCCCCAACATGTTTCAATACCTACTGTGTACCTGCCACATTGATGCTGAGTGCCTTGGATTTAAAGGTGAAAAAAATCCAGGTTCTTCAGAGAGCAGGTCAGGGGGACAGAGGGCAGCAAACTCCATTTCCCTGTGCCAGAAAGTGTTGAGAACTCAGGCCAGACACCAGGATGCAGGAGAGAGCTTCTCAGAGGAGGTGAGCTTTGCACTAATACTAAAAGACAAGTAGTGATTAGCCAGGGCTTCCCAGGTGGCGCAGAGGTAAAGAATCTGCCTGCCAGTTCAAAAGACACAAGAGACATGGGTTAGATCGCTGGTTGGGAAGATCCCCTGGAAGAGGAAATGGCAACCTGCTCCAGTATTCTTGCATGGAAAATTCCACTGACAGAGGCGCCTAGAGGGCTACAGTCCATGGAATCACAAAGAGTCGGACACTACTGAGCAATGGGCAGCAGAACAGTGATTAACCAGGGACTTGAAGAGCATGAATGCTGGGAACAGCATACCCAAAAGTGCGGAAACAGGATGCTGGTTGACACCTCTAATTCATTTGGGGTGGAAGGGAAGGGGTTGAAAAATGAGAGGAAGAGATGAAGCTGGAGTCTGAGGTAGGATCAGGGGCTTTTTATGTCTGGCTATGGAACCTGGATTTATTCCTGTGGGTACATGGGAGCCACAGAAGGTGATTAGCTAGAAGAATATCAGGACCAGATTTGCATTTTAGAAAGAAAGATGACCTGGTTTCCTTCTAGAGGTCTCAAGAAGTTAGGTGTTGAAATTAAGAGGTTTTGGGAGATACTGTGTCATATGAATGTGAATTTTATTTCAGAATCAACCTGGACCCATG